TCGTAATAACCTTATTGCCTAAAGACATTTTTGTTCAAAATATCTATCACGTGCTTCTCATATATTCTAAGAACTGTTCTTAAACTCTAGTACAGGATATTGTAAATTCGCACTATCAGAATTTTTTCATGCAACGGACCCAGCGTCCAGGTCACAAGTTCAGGTCATAGGTCCAGGTTCAGGTCAGGTCCAAGTCTAGGTCTATTTTTTTCAAGTGCAGGTCCACAGGTCCAGGTTCAACTTTATAGGTCAGGACCAGACCTGAGGCAAAATTGTTCATTAGATCGAATAACAATAAGCCGCCTAACAGTTAAACTTTCTAGTTTCTCCTACAAGTTTTGACCTTGACACGCACAGGTCACAGGTCAAGGTCTAGGTATCCTGTCTCTGGGTGATATTGAGAAGGTTTGAAAAATCGGGAAGTAGGACTTCCAGAAAACCATGGTTTTTGGAAGCTACTTTTTTAATAAAATTTTTTCCTGATATTATTTTTAAGTTGAAATTTTTTTCAATAACTGTATCTTGGAGAGAAAGGTTTCAGCGACATTTTAAAAAAAAATTATCAAAAAATCTCTTCCTTACTATTAAACTGAAATTTTAAAATCAAAACAACTTTTTTTAAAACCGAAATTTTTCAATTTTTTTTCATAGTCAGGTTTTCTACTTTTTTAGTTTCTATAGTATTTTTTCTGATTTAGCATTAAAAACTACATTCAATAATGGTGTTTTACTCATTCCGAAGTTAAAGGTCTATTTATGACGAGAACCTATCTGGTTTTTCCGCAATATTCGCTGAAGTGTCGGCTTCAAAAGTATAACTCGCTTTTTCTAAAATTTTGTTTCGTTGCAGAAAAAATTTATTTCTAAAATTCAAAAAAGTCAGAATTTTGCCTGTAATTCTCAATTTTCTCCATAAGAACTCAACTTCTACGTAATAAAAATATCATATTCGGAATCAGGATCAAAAGATATATCGACTGCTGTAGGTCTCGATCCTATCAGAGTACTTTTGTTTTTGTCAGGGTTCGTACTATTCATTTTCAAAAAACAGGAACAAGAGAGGATTTTTCTCCCTCGAAAAACACGAAAGTTGATAATCTTTTTCCAGAAATACAGGATATAAGCGAATGCAGAAAAACGACAAGTGAAATTTATCACAATGTGTTAAATAATGTATTGCTAGGCATAAACTAAAAATTCACTTTGACGTTATTTAAAAAATTTTATAAAGCATTCAAACATAGTCATAAATAAACGTAGATATCAAGCTAATATCTCTTTTTATTTATCCGTCCAGTATTATTATTGTTGTTTTCTTCCATCTTTCTCTTTTTCTATACGTACAATAACTAGAGATGGGTGGAACCAGCCTTTTTTAGTCCCGTTTCCGTAGAAAACTGTTTGGTTCCGATGAAAATTTTGGCCATAGAACATGAAAAAATGTTCCCCTGCTGGCGGAAAGTTCAATGCGGCTTTTTACTATTGTACTGCGCTGTAGTGTTTTCTACGGTCTTGCAAGAAAAAATTTGACAGTGAAACGAGTTTGAAACTCACATTAGAATTTGATTCTACAACGAAAGTTTTACTTTTATGGAACCAGTTTTCTTGTGCCTGGTCGTGGTCCTGGTCCCAGTCTCGCCGGAATTGGGACCATCCCGCCCATATCTAACAACAATATCATACTTCATTTTACTTTTCTTTACTCTTCATTGCTCTTTTTCATTTTTTTAACTTTCATTTAGTATTTCGACATGAATGTGTAGAATTCACGTAAGAGGTAGAGACTTTCTAACAGAGTTCACCCCAGTAAACAGTAAGACTACAGAAAAACGTCAAAATACAAGAAAAACAGGATAAAACAGGATGTTCTCATACAAAAACAGGACAAATATGAAGCCTGGAATTTTCACGCTGAAAGATTACCGAGATTTTCAACCAAAAATGAAAATGAACTAAAAATTTCAATATACACATCAGCCGATTTGTCTTTTGATCCTGATTCGGAATATGATATTTTTATTACATAGAAGTTGAGTTCTGATGGAGAAAATTGAGAATTGAGCAACTTAAGAAGTGAGCAGAGAACGCTATGATAATGAAAGTACTGAATGCACACGATGAGATACTAAATCCTTCATTCGGTTGTTTTAGAATGTTGAGCGTCTTCATCTGAATGAGCATTCGATGAATGATCAGCATAGATTGACACCAGAGAAGGACAATATATCTTTTCATAATGAAATTGTTTGTACAGGTAAGAGCGGAGTATAAATAGACGACTAAATTGTATAAAAATCCTTAAAAACTTTAATCTTACTTTATTGTACACTATTTGTAATTTTTTATTCTCATCAAGCAACAAAGCCGAAATCCTGTTAATGCAAAGATAGTGTACACGTATCGAACGAACTATTATTTGTATAACTGAAAAGAAATTTTTGCAGTATATTGGTTTTTTGCTTTCCAGCTGGCGCATTTGGCTTCTGTACTGGCTGTGAAAACGCCGGTGCTTTCAAATAAAACGATGGTTATGCACAAGTTGTATAATAAATAAAGATTCATTGCGGAGAGCTAAGTTTACATCTCGTATAATGAAACTCTAGTTGTCTATTCTTAACAAAGGGGCATCGAAAGGATTCTAAGAAGGACGATACTAACGTTGTTTTAAAGCATTTATACTTATAACCAACCATTGGGCGTGTCATCATCCAACTGATTCCGTAATTTACTTGAGTCTCTGATGAACGTTTTTTCAAGTCTCGCACTCGTCCTAAAATTAGTCGAAATATCACCTCGCATAACACTGGTGTTACAAGACACTTTGTTGCAATCAATTAGAAACAGATGCAAGAAAACACAGCGACGTTTTACCATGCATAATTTTGTAGAAGAGACATAATCTGCTCACGTAACATAACTCTGACTAACTCCAACATAAACAACTAACCTAACTCTCGCAAAATTTTCTGCTGAGATGTGCCACGCATGCAGTTTGATACTGAATTTGAGATAGCATGTTCAGGTTGCATGCATCAGTATCTCCACATTTAATAATACTAAGAATATAAGCATCATACAGCATCTGTCAAGAAATGTTACGGTTCATATATTCCATCGGGTCCACTGAAAGTTTTCTGGAAACACTAAGAATGTGAGTCTTTCACTTTAATGAAGACGTTAATTTCAGTCCTAGATGAATATGGTTTTGAACATACGGTAATATAACGTTGTCAATGTACAAAGAATGCATCAGCCGTCGCCTGTATAAAGCAAAAATAAGAGAGGACCCAACGCTGTTTCTGACAGAACTCTACACATGACAGGAAGCGGACGGAGGTTGCTCCGTCAACTATTCTAACAATATTTGTTCATTAAATAACTTTCAAACCAGTCCACCATAGAATCAAATATACCTTTATTGCGTAATTCCATTATCAAGTCTGCATGATATACTTTATCAAATGCTTTGCTGAAATCTAATGTGGGGACTGGTTTCAAGCAATACATTGAATATTTTGTACTTTTTTTCAGAATCAGATAAATTAAATGGATACTCGATTTGTGTTTGGTCACCGTTTTATCCCACTTAGGCGTATAGACTTTGTATCACTAAAAGAATTCTTTCAAGAAAGCGATTAAAAATTCATGCTCTGTTTATATCAACCATCGAACTAAAATTTGCATGAAAACGAAAATGTTAGGCTAGAAACAGAATTAAAAGAAGTTCAACAGATCATAACAATAAAAATAACAAAAAAAATACGACTAAATCTTTTACCAAGACTTCAAAAACCCCAGTTGGTATCTTCATCAATTCTACCCATATACAAAAACAATTAGTAGTCTTATATGTCCTGATTTGTTAATTTCTCACATCATGAGTTCGTTGAACATAATGATAAGCAATCACCAAAAGAAACACAATCACACCAAGTATATTTGCAAATATAGCCAAAACTTGATCAGATTCACGAATCATTGTTGATTTTGATAATGGTATCGCAAGAATGAAACGACGGATGAGATGCTACAGATGTCCGCGACAGATCTAAAAAGAAAAAGAAAATCTCTAAAGCGTAATTGTACATACGCAGCAATCATTTTGAAAAAAATTCTTCTTTAGCCAAATTCTATCACATCTTCTTCTATCTTACTTTATTCTATCCAAAAGAACATCGTAAAAAACTAATAAAACTTTTTTTATCATTCAAATAAATTTTTGTTTCTTAAGGTAGATGAATTAGAAATTTTGGAAAGTCTACCATATTTTCAATACTTTTCGTTATTGAAATACGACAAGGACAACTTCCACAATTAAAAGTAGTTCAAACAAATAAGTAAAGATTATGAATCATCGTAGGAGCAAATGAGTACCGTTTCGGATCCGTGTAGAAAAGGGTGCTAATTTTTTCGACTAGAAAAGTTTTGAAATTTCGTCAAAGTTTTCATCTTTCCTCACCACTGAGTGTCTGACAAAAATTTTTTGTTCTGAACACTAACTGTCTGTCAGGATTTATTTTCTAACACCACTGGCCCAAAAACTTGTACAGTTTTTCCGTAAGATACGTACACAAGTAGTTTTGGCTAAATTATTTTCATAGAAAGTACACAATAGTTTTTACATTAGCTTGCGTAGGACAACTTTTTATGATAGTCTGTATGAAATAGATCCGTAGTCTTGGAAAGAGAACAGGTTGTGTTTCTGGGCAAAACCTAGTAGGAAGTTAAGAAAGCACAAATATAAAAACATTTTGCGGTTTGCGGATCTTCGCAAAAATTTTGATGATCCGCATGATAAGAAATTTATTTTATCCCAGTAACAACCAGATCTTGACGGAGTGAAAAAGAGTACTAAAAACAATTAGAAAAAATGCATATAATTTTTTAAAACAACTCTGTTGAAATACTATTTCGATAGAAAATGAAACACACTTTACAAAAAATAGACTATACAGTAATACTTCATAAAAAAACTCCAACAATGTAAAAAATGTGAATGTTCAAACATCGGATGATGAGGGTTCAGATAATGTTGCTTGAGGTGGTAGTGGAGAAGGAAGAGAATTTCGACGTTGTCCAGGAGGGAACAGTTTAAAATCAATTGGTAATGGTTGATTAATGTATCTCAAATCTTGTTTGGAAAATTTATTTGTTATCAAAAATCCAGCGTTTCTTTCGAGAACATCTACCGGCACAAGAAAAGTTTCTAATGGAACATCATTATCGATTGGAGCATTTGGTAACATGTATGATAATACATCAATGTGAGAGTCTTTCGTTCGGCCAATGATAATTTTAAAAAAGTGTGTCGGTACAGCTACTTGATTCGCACCAATCATTTCATATTTCATATATAATTTGCCGTCTTGTTCACGTCTAAAAACAAGAAATAACAATGGAAATAGCTAAAGGCGAAAACATAAAGAAAAGAACATGCAAGATAGTTGTTTTTTCTAACGAACGTAGACAGCTTCAATAGACTGTTAATCCTAGAGCAAAAAATTACATATGCTTACCTCGGCAAAAAAATGGGTCCCGAAACGACCCAAAGATTTGCATAATATTTGACCAGTGCACGAACATATCTTTCGAGGTGGCTCCATTTATCACGATTGAAGCCTTCTCCAACCTACAACAAAAAAATATAAAAAAATACAATGACTAACCACAGTTAGACACTACATTGTACCTGTGGAGCAATGTTTGATAAAAAAAATGTATTATTCATACTGTGTTGAGAATGTCGATGGTTAGCGGCGGGTACCAAATGACCACGATCATAACCAGAACCTATCCGCAAAAAAAGAAACATTTGTATAAAATGAGTAATACAGTCTCAACTAGACATGCCTGCGTAATCAGCATTAGACGAACGAAAAAATGGATGGATGTTATTATCTTCGCAGAAATTTGATTTTCCTCTATCAACGTCGATACCCGGTTTAATAGTTTCCCTAGTTAAATGCTCGATTGTCCATAAAGGTATTCGATTTCGTCGATCATAAACAAGACCAAAATTCACATCGAGATCAATACGTGATTCTGTTGGTAGTTCAGGAGAATAACGTAATAAGACAGCGGATTTTTGCTGCAAAAATTCTTTGTATTTATAATATGAACCTGTTGCAACAACACCAAATACTAGACCAATACAACCAACAGCCAGAGAACCAATACCTTGCGCATGTGCCATTTTGAAACCTTAAATGGAAAAAGATAATATATAACTACTAGGTAAAAGAAAAAGAGAATTCTGAAACGCTTTCACTAACAAATTATCAGATGGCTGATAACATCCAGACAACGGAGGAAACTTTTCTGCATAGGAAAACATAAATAAATAAAGGACCACGATAAGTTCTTTTTTATTCATTAAAACCGAGTTAACCGAAGAAAAGTGCCCATTGCCTTTCAAATTGCATCATCCGAAACTGATCTATTCCTTTTTCAAAACAGACAAAGATTTTTTCGAGTACAGTACAACTATAATTATACCTACGCAAATGATACGCAGTTCTCTCTACACATTTTCTGATTTTGCATGTTTTTATTGCTGGATACTTTTCAATGTTAACAGCACCAACGATGGAAGAAGTTATAAGGATTAATACTATTAATACTCCTAAAGTCTAGATAAATACGTAAGGTTAAATTATTTTACTTCTAATAAATGAATTAAATTCTTTCTGTATTATTTATTCATCTCGATGACGTTTCATTGCAACCAGTCAAACTGCATCCGATTTGTTGCTTTTAATTCACAAATCAATATTCATCATTCAGACTCTACGCAGATACGTTTCTTTCACTCATACTCCGGTTGTTAGCGCAAATAATACAGAATAATGAAAAAGCTTTTATTAAACGAAAAACTATCGTTATTTCAACAAAGCAGAAATTGAGCATTCTAATGCAGAGCACTGTGTTTTACGTGCCTCATAATAATCTGCTGAATAAAATATTTACTCTTTTTTCGTGCACTTCGGTTACTATTGACAGACATTTCTGGACAATCGTAAAGATATATAGCTAGATTAGATTTCCTTGAAGCTGCCTCCCTTTGCCTCAACTCTAGCTGAGAGATGGCCTGGAACCCATGAGCGATGATCGGAAACTTTCTCTTGTAGATATAATCTTGTTCACAGAGAACCTCAAAAGACTTCTGGTCGGTAGACTATTTGTCATTATTTTTCTTCATACACAGCATTTATGCGTTCACAAAAATTTGTCTCGGATTTTGCAAATGTTCTTCAGTATTGTCTACCGATAAACACACTTTACTTCTATATGTAAAATATTTGTTTTGGTGAAGGATAACCAAGTCTTTTTAACTAATTTCTCAAGAAAGTTCAAAATACCTCATTTGTAAGATATTTTTGTCTTTATTTGATTCAGATCAGTTGTTGTGCAATTATGCCTGAAAGCATTAATACCGAATCAACGCCATCATCCAATGCTTCTTTTCCCAAAGTATTGTGGGCACAACAAAAGGACAGTATACTGTTAACCGTAGCTGTTCCCGATATCGATGAGGTTGATTGTAAATTCGAAGAAGATAAGCTACATTTTCATGGAAAAGCAGCAGATAAAACAAACACTGTTTATGAAATTAAGATCGATCTATATGGAAAAATCGATTCATCAACTTCAAAATATGATTTAATCGGGCAAAAATTTTGGCGGATACTATTGAAAAAGAAAGATGCCAGTTTGCCGTTTTGGCCTCGCTTAACGAAAGATAATAAAAAGTTGCATTGGCTTCAAACGGATTTCGATCATTGGGTTGATGAAAATAACGAGGAAGATGAAGAAGCGCCAGGTGGTAACAATTTCGATGATATGTTTGGAGGTGGAATGCCAGGTATGGGTGGTATGGGAGGCATGCCTGGGATGGGAGGTATGGGTGGTATGCCTGGTATGGGAGGCATGGGAGGTATGCCTGGTATGGGAGGTATGGGTGGTATGCCTGGTATGGGAGGCATGGGAGGTATGCCGGGTATGGGAGGCATGGGAGGTATGCCGGGTATGGGAGGCATGGGAGGTATGCCTGGTATGGGAGGATTTAACGATAATGAAGATATGGAAGATGAGCACGATTCGGATGACGAAGAGGTCGGATTAGATAAACCAACAACAGAAACAAAGAAACAAGATACAAAAGATACAAAATCCAATGAACATGTGAAAACGGGTGAAGAGGCAACAAAAGAACCTGTGGCATAAACTATTCACTACATTCCTAGACGATTGCTTTTCACACTAATCAAATTTTTTTTCTGTAAAAAGTTCCGTCCATCAAATAAACCGAAAATTACAAATCAAGAGAGTTTTCTTTTTCACTGAAAAAGAGGTTTTTTATGTCTTTCTCTGTTTCTTCATGTAGTGTGATTGTATCATTTATTGTTTTTTTTTCTGTTATTCTGGAAAACAAACTGTGTAACGAAATCAGGGAGAGATTGTTATACGACTCTTTGTTGATTTCAAGTAAAAGATCAATACGAAATGGATTTTATTGCGCAAAATGGAGAGCGACTGACATTTGAATAGTTTCTTTGAAAGAACATCACATGTAGAAACGAATTTCAAGACGAAATTTTATATTTAAAAAATGAAAGTTGGAGATTTTTTACAGTATGAAGAAGCGTTTGATGCATTTACTATCTCTTATCTGGCAGAAAAACTGTATTCGTAGTTGTACTGTTTAATTTGAATTCCTAGCTGATAGAGGATGAATTAGTACTGACAAAATATAAACAGGAATGTTGAACTCTGTATGTTCGAATCTCGTTATCTTTTTCATAAGTCTCCAACAATATCAGGTTTGTTTTAGAACTTAGAACAAGACGAAAACTTTAGAAACAAGTATTATGGCCCCGAAGAAAATTTTAATGATTGTTGGAGATTTTGTCGAAGATTATGAAGCCATGGTACCATTTCAAGCATTGACAATGGTGGGTCACACAGTGGATACTGTATCTCCGGACAAAAAAGCTAAAGAAACGGTTGCCACGGCGATACATGAAGAAGAAAACAATGAGCAAACATATTCGGAAAAACGCGGCCATGCATTTACATTAACAGCAACATTCAGTTCGATTAAATCCAAAGATTATGATGCATTGATACTTCCTGGTGGAAGAGCTCCCGAACATTTACGTTTAAATAAAAAAGTAATTGAATTGATTCAAGAATTCAATAAGGATAATAAACCGATTGCTGCTATCTGTCATGGGTTACAGTTATTATTAACAGCTGACTGTTTACGGGGAAAAACGTGCACGGGGTATAAAGCAGTTGGTCCTGATCTAAAATTGGGTGGTGCAAATTACGTTGAGAAAAACGCGGATGAGGCTATTGTTGATGGTAATTTGGTGTCCTCACCGGCATGGCCTGGACATCCTCAACTATTAAGCGAATTTTTAAAACTTTTAGGTACACAAATTTTACTATAAATGAATTTGAACTAAATTATTAACTATGCTATTTTATCCTAGTCTATCTACGTTTTGCAAATATATTTCAGCTGTTAGCTTTATCCTTGTATTTCATGTATTGTTATGATTACGGCAATAAATAACAGTTTTTATGTTTTTTTAATCACTGTTCGTCTAAACAGAATAGATAAATGTTTTATATTAGCGATTTCTTTATTTTTAATGTTGGGAAGCTTTAACTTAAAAGAAAATATTATTCGAAAGTTCAAAGCGTTATGTCACATTTCTTTTCAATTAAATATAAATGACGATGCGTAACACTAAATTGGAAGCTCTCAATAAGTATTCTCAATTTATTTGATTTTTTTTTATAGATGTCATCATCAACAGAAAACGGTCAACATCCAACGGATAGTATCAAAGTTGAACAACAACACAATGAATCCATACCTCTTGATGATTTAGTATCAAAACTACGTCACACAATCAACAGTAGCGATTGGTTGACCCATAATACATCAGTTAAATGGGAACAAGAGAATCCAGAATTAGCCAAAGCTTGGCATACGGCAGTTAATGAGAATGATAGTAGCATAGTAGATCAAAAGTAATTACAAACTTGATAAATGACTTGGTATCCACATTCTTTGTCAGATTTTTCTTTCAATTTTTTATATGTTTTAAAAATCTATGTCTGTCATTATAATTTACTTGAAAAATACAGTTCACAATTAAAATTTTTCACGTAACCGGGATGAAAAGTAAATCGAAAAGTTCTGAAATTGTTTCTTAGAACGAAGAACGTTTATAGACAACCATTTTAGTTCGTTCATATGAATTCTTATGTTTTGTTTCGCATAAGAACAACGAACTTCGAATTCAGCTATCCGACGTTTGATCGCCATATGTCTATAGATAATTATGTTTACGACTTTAAAATAATAGGGACAATCTTTTTGTACAAAACTAGCACAATAGATCATTATGATATTTGTTTATTCTGCAAAAATAGGCTTGAAGTCACCATCTCAAGTTCGACCATAAAGTATACCGAATAAAAGTAAATTAGTTAAAAAGAAGAGCACAACAATATTCATAAAAACAGAATCAACGAAGATTTCAAGTGTCTACTGTAAGTTTTTGTAGAAAATAACTTTCTCTTCGAAATACTTAAGATCTTTCTGTGAAAAAGTCTTTTTGCTAAATATTGAATTAGAGATCATGAGACAACAAAGTTTCAACTTTTACAAGATACATTTTATTTATACGCACTACTCTATTCCAAAAGCGCTGACATATGAGTGAATGGCATAGCCATCGTACCGTTTAGCAAAAAGCTCTCAAAAAATAAGTTGCTTACAAAAACATATTCAGAGTGTCGAGTTGAGTTTTCCTACACTAGATGTTGAGTAGGAAACCTTTTTCCCGACACTTTATAATCAAAACAGGAGGAAAATGCGACTCTTGGGAGTCGCTACTCGCGCTTACTGAACTAATACTTTTGAGCTTCGTGGTTGGACAGAGCACATTCAGCTGAATCGAATGGTGCATCATAAGTTGTATTTCGGTTCTGTTTTTATTGAAAATATCACCGGATATTTTGTTGTTGCAAGCTTGTGAAAATGTCACCGGATATTTCTTTCTTAAAATCTTACTGGACATTTTCATGTATTTTTCAAATTTCTCCTCGACGATGCAATATTTCAGTTTCACTTTTTTACCAAATATCAGACCTCACGAGGTCTAAAAATGATCAACGTTTGATCTTGATTGGAGTATTATTTATCGAGATATGAAAAAACAAAATCGAAAAGCTCACCGGACATTTTGTAGGTCAGCCTCGATTTCTAACAATATAATAGAATTTTGTGTACAAAAAAGTACACAAAATTCTATTATAACTTTTCAAATTATATTTTCTTATCAATTTGTTACGCACTCGAAGCTGTATCGATTCTACTTATTAACATGCATTACCAGTTTTTTCTTTAGCTCGATTTTACGCTTTGAAATCTCACCAGACATAAATTCCAAAGTGAGTAACAGAGCAAAGATCAACGTTTTCTAATTGGAATTTTCCCTCTGTCTAGAATGAAATGATGTGAGATCCCATGCAGATGAAAAAAGTCGTTCGAGGGGTGCGGCGAGTACCCGAAAACAGGCCCTCGCTGAGGGCTCGACCCCTCGTAAATGGGTACTTCGGACCCTAGATATAAGCTTTCGTGGGGTATTGATTTCGAGCCGTCGAATAGAGATGTTCGGAAGTTCCGAGCCCTCGCTCTCTCGAGGTTGCGCGAGGGCTAGGAAGCTTATATCGAGAGTCCGAAGTGCCATTTTCCGAGGGCTCGAGCCCTCGGCGAAGGCCCATCGAAAGCACATTTCCGAGCACTCGAAGTACCCCTCGAAAAACTGGTTGGGATTATAGAGTTAGATATGGCCTACAAAATGGAAAAGCAATATTGTTCTTGAAAGACTAAATCTATTGGAAAAAAATCCGTTTTCTCTCAGTAGACGGAGCCAAAGACCAACCAACGCGAAACGCAAGAGTTATATCTCGTAAACTATAGGAGACAAAAGGTTAGCTTCTAGCACAGTAGTAGGCCTAGTGTAGATAAACTAAACAAAAAAGATATTTTAAAATTGCTTCACAGCAAAAAATGTTATCCCTTTTTTTACATGTAAGAAAATGAACGGTATAATGGTTATGCCCATCGCTCATATGTATATGTAGGCGATAAACTCCGATTTAGTCCAGTCTAGGATTGACCGGGAATGTTTATTGATCTACTCATTTTGACAACCAATCCCGGATTGGCTTAGGCCAGTTTCAGTTTGGATGCTGACATATATACATACGCTGTGAAGCAAACTTGAAGAAGAGATCTGCACGCAGACTGCTAACTTACAGTCTCTAGTCGTACAACATTTTTCTGGGATTTTTGTTAGGTTTGATATAGAATAATAAAATGCAATTTTCTGCTGCTATTTTGAAAAAATAACAGTTAAATACCAAATTTGTGGCTGAGAAAGGACGAGGGTTTTTTTACTGTACAGTCTGTGCAGAAAAAAACTTTCCTTCTTTCTACACGATAATGTGGAGAGATACATTAGAGGTGTGTCTCAACTGATGTCGCATTATGCTTTGAACTTCTTACAAAAAACGTAATGACTGATAGATCGTATAAGTTATCGGCATAATTCTCAAAAGTATAATCTTTCAAGCATTTTACTATACAAATAAAATAATCATGTTGAGAAAAGCGTAGATATTTGCTGATGAATTCTTAAGTTAAGATGATCTAGGAGTATTTCTAAGCTCGAAGAAGGTCATTTCATGTCGTGGTCTAGTTTGGATGAACGGTATATATAATGTGTGCTAATACAAGCGCCATTAAAGTTTTTAACTGCTGTTTCACTCAGACATCTTCTTAGTCTTCAAGGAGCGTGGGCACTCCATCGTAAAAAAAATGAGTGCTTCGATTTTCCAGTATAAGAAATTAATTTTGAAATTCCTGAAGTGCTCAAAACAAGATCTTCAGCTTTTAGAAAACTCATATTGAGCCTTCAATCTTTCAGAGGTTTTAAACGAGTTTTCTGAAGAGTGTAAGAACTCATAAAGAACTGATAGTTAGTTCTCTATTTGGGATGGGACAATTTCTCTTAACCTCTTACTCCCACCGGGGACCATGCGGACCAAGTACCAGGCAAAAATCGCACATGTGAGATTATGAGAGTTGCCGTGCAGTTTCCTTTCATATTGTAGCTATTATCACAAATGGACCAGCCGTTACTTGATATTAGTGATAAAGCAAGAACAATCAATATCCACAAAATGTCAATTGAAAAACTCCAAAACGAAGGGGTTGGTTGGAAAAATCATGAATTTGTTATTGCATTTTGAATTCATGCTTTATGTGTTATTATTATAGTCTGATATTCGGGATACCAGTGATACGCTACGATAATAAAGAGACATTTGATGATTCAACAAGAGAACCACTTGACTTTAACGCAAGTTTGTTTTTAAGAATACTTGTGTTGGATAGTACAGTGTCTGGTTTTGTATCGTTATTCTTACTTTTTGTATTGCGACGATATGGCGGACGATTAATCAAATGTAGTTTTGCCGGTTTATTCATGCAAATTGTGTTGGCAGCGATTGTGTTCGAATTTGCATGGGCTTTGGAATTGTTATGCGCCTGTTTATCATTCTAATAATATGATGCATTTACTATGTTTGAAATCGAATACAGTTTGCTGAAGCTATATTAAGATGAGTTGTGCTGCTCTTGCTAGTCATTCATCATTGTTATTTGTTGCGTTAGGAATGCTTATTGTGCAATTTTTGTAAGCGTTCTTTTGGTCAATGCCTACATTTCACTTTGAACATACAATTGATAATTATGAGAAGGAAGCAGAAGAAGAATCAAAGGGTAGTGGCGGTTTGTTTGTGTTTGCTTTACTGGTATCGTTATATTGGGCACAGTCGCTTTCAGAAATATTGCCCATTTCGTATCTGCTTGTGTTGTTGGTAATTGATGATGGTTTTCCAATTCATAACACGTTGTTCGATCATCGGTCAATCATGCATTCACTATCAATTTCGGTTCAATCGCTTTTGGTTAGTTTATCGTAGCTGTTATCATTGCGTGTAATGGCTCCAAATGCTCCAAATAATTCACAACGTCAATGAAATATTGTCGTGGTGTTGATAACAAGTTGCGCCGTATGCGTGCTTTAAACATTAGAACGCATTATTGGCTTTTTTGAATGAGTGGGCATTTATTTATTGTGCATTAACTGGTGCCTCGTTTATTCAAGCGTCGAAAGATGTTGTTGAATTGTTTAAACGTCTTGAATAGACTTTGATAATCTAACTGAAAATGCATTGGCTATCACAAGTATAGCAGTTGTTTTTATTTCTGCCGTTATTGAAGGTATAACAATTTATGTTGTAATGCCTCATACTCCGAATCGTACCGAAATTGCTGGTATAAGAGCGTTTTTCTGCCTTCTTACTGGTTTGGCAATGAGCACGTTAATGACTTCATAACTAACATAATGTGTGAGAACAGTTTTTGTGTGTTTTGCCTTAAATCCAAAAGCTTTTGCAAGCATTCATCCCGGATACCTCTCTTCATTAGTAATCAGATGGTACAAGTTTCATTCGACACAATTTGCGCAAAGCGGCTATGGATACTACTGAAGCCAGCATCGATGGAAGTTTAGTTATGTGAAACAATTCAATATTTATAGATATTTTTATTTACCGACTTGATTTACACAACTGACACTTGTAGTACTTTTTTATTTCTAAATTTAATGTCTTAGTTGTTTATTGTACTCTTAACATCAATAACCTCTTTAGATTGATGTCCGATGAAGTTAAACTGAACATACATATTTTCAATAAAGTATTTCGGATATAAGTTTGAGAAATAATGAGGAGTTTAACTGTTTTGGCTACTACATGTTATATTATATGTGTTCAGTAAAAATTACAACAGAGCTTTTTTTATCCTCCTACCGCTTCTCTTTATTACGTACTAAATATAAAATTAGTATGGTTGTTTCGTAACTACTCGTCTTTCCGCAATTATTCTGTCTAAATTGACATTAGTTAATCCTTGATAGGACAACAAGTGTCTGAATATTGATCCGAACAAATGAACTACCTATTTATTTTTACGTTGATTACATAGGAGTCGTTGGCAGTTGGACTAAACAAACTTTTCGTAAACAAATGTCTATGTTTTACGTCTCTATAAACAAAATAAATCGTTGTAGAATGAAATATAGAAATTCAAACATCTATGTATAACAAGACTACAACAATAGCAACAACAATATCGTCATCATACGATTTTCACATCTATTTACTGTTCATCTGCCTGTTAAAACTAGTTTGTAACTAGATTACATAGATAACAGATAAAGCTCTAGCCAACATTTTAGTTCAACTTGATAGAAGTATCAAACGGACTTTTATATATTGATTTCGACTATTCAGAGACTAGATGGTAATCACGCTGTGCAAGACTTGCTAATGCGGTGGGAAGCGAAACATTTGCATCACAACTTTTACTACATACTTACAATATAGTCGCGCATATAAAAGTTGTACCATACTAATGACTCATTCATAATAGCAATCACATATACAGATAATGAAGTCGATAACACTGTGTTTGAGATCAGCTGTGAAAGTAACATTATACGATAATGAATATTGCATCTGTATACTCAGATCAATTATCGTTTTGCTGAAAAATTTCAAAGTCCCAAACTTTCAATCGACCTACTGTCGGATACTCTAGAAAAGAGACAATACATCCAGAAAGTCTCAAAAGGGAACGAATATTCAGCCACAGATCGATCTCCTTGTTTGAAACAACACTTGTAGTTGTCGGAAAAATCGTCACAAAAAACGACACTTTTTCCGATCTGGTGATAAAAAGACGCACGTGATTGCTATAATACGATTATGCTTCACATCGCATTAATAATCGCCAAACATCATTGCTTGTTATGGAATAAACAGTGTCATATTTAGACTGAAATTTGGATCAAAAGTTCTATTTCCTGCAGATCTCTCTTTTCTTCATCCGCCTCCTGACGAGTTGACAAAATTGTAACATTGTCTTTTTAATAACTCATTAGAATATTTCTTTGGAAGCTTTTGATATTCATTTTAGAATTTTTTATTAATTGCTGTGCTATATCACGTTCTAGTATAATACGCACCTTGCTAAAAGTGATCTGACTAAGATGACAATTAAGTTGTCATCTTTTCCGTTTCTGTTTTTAAGTTTGGTAAATATGTGAAAGGAATGTGAGTGATGAACTTTAATGAAGCTTTGACATCACCTATCTCTCTCTTTCGCTCGTTATTTAACGAATTCATAATAGAGAGAAAAAAAAACAAAAAATTATAAATAAATGCTTGAAACAACGAAAAAGAAAAAGAAGACAAAAGAGAAATCTCATTGACTTTATCCAAAAAAATCATCGATGAATATATGATGTTCAGAGAGAAAATAAGCAAATAAACGTTACAAAATAGATGTAGACTGATAAATTATGAAGTATACTTAGAAGAATTTACACTTCATTGCCGATTTCAGTGCCAGGTAAGAATTACATTGGTGATTTTTCTCAGTAACCATTAATATGCTGATAATACATTGAATGAGCTGAAACTTAAATATTTTATTTTCTTAGTAGATATTTTCGCATTTCTTTCTAATATCATGTAAACTTCATCAATCTGATCTTGTCATTTTTATTTCAAGAAAGGTACAAAATATGGTGCATCGTTTTCTATTGATTTTTATCATACTTAAATCGATAACTTGTTTTAAACATGATTATTACCACGTTGGCGGTTCATCCATGGAATCTACCCATTATGATCGGAAACAACAATGCTATCCAATTCATCGACGAATATCATCAGGTTTCAATCAACAATCGAAACAAGATTATTTAAATATAACTAGAGAATCTCGTCAGTCTCCCACTGAACCACCTATTGCCATAGAGGAGAATAGTGAAAATACACTGATCAGTCTTAGAACGGGAACAGTTCAGATCAATACAACAAATTCATTGGGTATTGATGAAGCAGGGTTGAATATAATTACAGACCCACAGGTTGGTTAACATTAATACACAATTGATATTCACCTTAATATATTTAATATTTCTCTTGACAGGTACCAGGCAATGTTACAATATCGGTACAGATTGTGGAATGCGTGAATTGCCCATATGAAACACTTGTAAGTGATTTATCACCATCTCAAACTCTCAATTTAACAATTAATACTAAATACACGTATCGTCTACGAATTGAACTCAACAATGCAACTGTCTGTCTCGAAACGTTAAATTTATATGAACATGGTCAATATGTATTTAATATTCAATCGAACACTGGCGCAGCACTAACTAATGGTTCATCCGATACGGCATTAAAGTGTACATTAACCACTCGACGGTTATCGAACAATATTTATACCCCTTTGATTGTCGGTGGTGTTATTGTACTGTCCTTATTTATCGCCTGTTTATTTGCTCAACGTATGAAATTAACTGGTAGAATATTAAAGATGAAGGAACGCTTTTTCAATCATGTACCACCACAACAATCTCAATCATCCTATAATCTACAACAACCGCATGTGACAACAGCCACAGTTGGTCAAACAACAATATGTTCTCATATAACAAACCATCATCATGAAACAACAACGGCTACCATTGATTCGGTTGAAAATCATCATCAAACAAAACCAATTCCATCGATAAATACGGCCAATGTAATTGTGCCTCGTTCAAAACGTTTATTGAGTTTAGATGCATTTCGCGGATTGGCATTAGTAGCCATGATTTTTGTTGATTACGGTGGTGGTGGTTATACTCAATTTGAACATGCACCGTGGCATGGCATTACATTTGCTGATCTTATGTTTCCATGGTTCATATGGATCATGGGAGTCTCGATTATCTTCTCATTAAAAAATAGTTTAGATAGAAATGTACCGAAACGAAAATTATTATGGAAGGTGGCATTGCGCGTCATTAAGTTATTTGTAAGTTATATATTTATTGTTCCTAGAGTAAAAATTGTGATTTCTGTTTTCGTTAGCTGATAGGATTTATATTAAATACACATTTCAAAGTCTATTTATCCGAAGTACGAATATTGGGTGTTTTGCAACGATTTGCAATTGTTTATGCAGTTATAGCGACGATTGAGGTTTTATGTGCAAGAAAACACATGTTTTCAGTTTCAACAAATCATTTATCAGCTGTAACAACCACAACTACAACAAAAGCAACAACAAGCAATTCAAAACGAATGACAAGTGTATTTCGAGACGTTTTCAATTTTCCGTTACAATGGCTGGCCGTTATTGGCTTAACAACCATATGGGTATTGATCATCTATTTAGTTCCATTCGGAGAATGTCCAGCGGGCTATTTAGGACCAGGTTAGTTGAAAAATGCTTTTAATTAGTCGACGAATATATTTGTAAGATAAAATTCGAAATACAGAGCGTTTGACTATCTTTTTTTTTATTTATCGTTCTGGTGGAATACATGAAAACGGAACATATATCAACTGTACCGGAGGAATTACGGGATATATTGATCGAATAATATTTAGTGAACGACATCTTTATCAATATCCAACTTGTCAACTCATTTATGGATGTACTCAGGCCTTTGATCCAGAAAATTTACTCGGCGCTTTACCAACAATATTCTTAGCCTATCTGGGCGTACAAGCTGGCAGAATTTTAGGTGAGTGAATATTTTAAGTATGTAATAGAACAAAAGACTTTTTATTTTTCACAAAAATTAGTTATGTATCAAAAAGATATGGATCGTCTTATAAGATTATTTTCTTGGAGTATATTTACTACAGCAATTGGAATTGGATTGACAGGTAATACAACAGAAGCATAACATAAATCAACTGATAATAGTAATGAATATTCTTCAATTTGAGCTGGAACATTTGATAATGGACCGATGCCATTGAATAAGAATCTCTGGACATTATCATTCTCATTATTTGCAGGTCTGTACATTTTTAAAATATCTTTTCACTTTAGCTTAGAATATACCATACCATTGTGTTCTTCAAACAATTCTGTTTGAAAATTGAAACTTGTTTATTACAGGTGGTCTAGCTTATGCACTATTCGCTTTAATGTATATCCTAATTGATATGTTTAAAATCTGGAACGGCTGTCCATTCCAATATCCAGGAACGAATTCAATATTAATCTACATGTCTCATATTATATTCGCTACCTATTTTCCCGTACAATGGATGGTAGCCGAAACACATGCTGCTCATTTAGCAATGGTAAAGACAGTCTTTAATTTTTATATTTCTGAATAATTTAAATTCAATTTATTTTTGTTTATTTAGGCCATTTGGGGAACATTATTTTGGATTATTATTGCATATATATTTTTTCAAAAACGAATCTTTTTTGTGCTATAGATAGATATAAATAATCAAATGAACAAAATATGAAATTGGTTTTAATCTATGACTTATTAGTAATAAACAGTTATTGGTATTTGATAATCAAAAGAACTGCACGAGTGTACGAGTTAAACTATTGATTTTAAAATAATATTAAACATGGTATAAGTTCGGTAGTTCGTTTACATATTATCGATTTTACGTCAACTAGTTAGTCTAACTAGAAAAAAAAAACAGTCATTATAAACATATAATAAGTACGTTGTATGTCTTCGTACTTCAAATGATACAATGAACTCAACATGAACATCTAGTTCTATTCAAATAGTCCATACCACTTTCAGAAATATGACGAAAACTCTGTTACTGTTGTTATTTAGAATAACTTTATTATATTTTTCCGTTGGATCGATTGAGATACACTTTGCCGTAGTTCAAGGCGAGAGTTTCTCTTATGTTTTTCACCGTTCTTCAGGACTTTGCCCGTCAAAAAACAAAAATTCAAATATTTCACATTAGCAAGTGCATACGAAAGCGTATATGAACTGACCCTCTCCTCGATATTAATTTTCAACCATCAAAAGGGAAATAGGAATACTAAAACATCGGGCCATTTCTTCTGTGAAGTACTTAGTAATTTCAAACAATCGCAGCTAATTCACCTATCGAACTAACGAGGGTCCATAAAAGATGACCCTCTCAGTATTTCGACTATAACGTTTTCTCTTCTCAACTTTTAGACTTGATTGTTTTTCCAAAAGATGCGCTATCAAATTTTCTACAAGACATGTATCAAACATTTTTCTATAGTGAGTTAAGAAAGAGAATTAAACAAAACCCACAACACATATAAACGAACGAACTGTCAAAGTCGAAAACCGTTTTTTCAGATTTTATCAATAGCTAGTCAACGAGGCAAATAAAATAAAATAAGTATTTTGTAGCTCTTGAAAAGCTCTATCGACTTGAAATAAGTAAAAGAATTTCATGTCAATCTTTGAGGCTTGCATCGATTTTATCCTCTTTGAGTTTCCGGAAAATTCAAGTGTTTGACTCAGTACTTTCACAGTTCCTGGAAAAACACACATAACTAAGGTAAAATGGGATTTTTTGAGCTCGCATTCTTTTTGTTTTGGTGGGACATAACTACTGGACCATATTCACATTCGCGAAACTTTACCTCCAGTTTTCTTCTTAATTTCAGCTGGCAACTATACAAGATTTTGCTGATTTTTAATGGGATTTTGAAAAGTTCGATTTGTCGATGTTTACTTTTATTTGAACGAAGTTTGAATTATATGAAGAGAAAGAGCACAATTCAAAGTACTCAGAAACATCTTCACTTTTATTTCGCTGTCTTGAAAGTTGTTTAAAATATTCGCAAGTTGATTCGTTTATACGTGCTGTGTTTTCTTTGTTTAATTCTTTTCCTTAACTTACTACAGAAAAATGTTTGTAGAAAATTTCATAGCGCATCTTTTATAAAAACAATCAGGTCTAAAAGTTGAGAAGAAAAAAGAAAGAACTGAGAGACTCATTCTTTATGATCCATCTCACATTTTGAAGCGCATAAAATACGATGCAAAAGTCTTCGAAAGAATGTCGAACATTATTTCTGCTTGTTTCCAATGTGATGAAGAGTTGATTATTTTTTCTTTGGAAAGAGCAAAGTCTGAACTTCAAGAAAACAAAATTTTTGCGATTGACTTTGAGAAAGACAAAAGTTCGATATCAAACGCCACCAAAAAAGCTCTTACAACATACTTTTTTTCTTTATTTTTACTAGAGCCTAAAGAAAATAGCTTTTTGAAAACTAAATAGGTGAGAATGTAGACCGTGCAAAACTCTACCAACTTCCCTACTTTAGAAAGGTTCTCAGTAATTCTTTAATAATCAATAAAGCACATTGTAAGTCTTATGAGGGAACCTTCTCAGATGTCAAATTCCGTTTTCGAAGATATTACGCCAGTTGATAGAGGAAAGTGTTGTATTAATAGTTAAAACCGTAAAAGAATTTGTGCCCATGATACTTCTTTCAAGAGTTATGCTTTTTTTTATATTGCCGGGAAAACAGGTACAAAAAAAGATCGGTCAACAATCTTACCAGACCATTATAATGATGAAGTAACTGTTATTCACATAGAGAACCAGTTACAAAGTTACAAATAAATTAAGTAAATTATAGAGAGCGAGGAGAGAGAGAAGATAGCTTGTCCATTGTGTTCCTCAAACAATTCTGTTTGAAAATTGAAACTTGTTTATTACAGGTGGTCTAGCTTATGCACTATTCGCTTTAATGTATATCCT